CTAGGAGTGAAGACGCGAGTCTCTGGGCTCGTCAGCAGCCCCTCCCTACTGGATCGGCTAGTGGGGAGAGAGAGGGAGAGGAGGAGCCGAGGGGAGGTGCCGGCGGGGGTGGGGAGGAGGAGGGGGCGGGGATCTTCTCTCGCTCGATGCTAGCACCAGCCGGGGCAGCTGCTGCCGGCAGCATGGGCGATGGAGGAGCTGAGCAGGAACGCGGCCCCATCGGGTTGGCGGCAGTCGAGCGAATGCGGGAGCTGGGGAGCCGGGCAGAGCTGGGGAGCGCAGGACGCGCAGGAGACTGGGCCCGTGGCGGGTCAGGAGGAGGAGGAGGCGGTAGCCGCGGGCTCAAGGACGTAGCGGGAACCTCGGCCACCAGCCCTCCTGTCGGATCTAAGGCAACCTGCACTGAGAGCGAGCGCCAGGCTGGAGCCAACGAAGCGGATTATTGCCGCCGGATCCTTGTCCGAGGTAAGGGGAGAGGTAGACTCACCGCTCGCCTGTCCCCAAACGCTCTACGTCCTCTCCTCATCCCATGCGGCCCCCACTCTCAACCCCTTCTACTGCTTAATAACCCTAAACCTATGAAGCCCCTGCACCCTAATTCTTTCTCCCATCCCCATGTTATCTGCCCTTCCCATACCACCCTTTAACCTGCTCTAACTCTCCTCAAAGCTGCCACCTTTTTTCCCCACCTCGCATCACCCCAAGTCTAGAAAGCCATCCCTGGCCAACCATATAACCCTCTGATCCGGAGGCATTCTCTTTGTCCAACCCAGATCACTCTTTTCACCTTCTCATCCTCCATAACCCTACTCCAACCTTCCACCGCCTCTCCTCGCTTCTGGTCACACCAGCCCCTAAAGGTTTCCCCTGTTAACCAACCTGCCAAAGGTTTCCCCTCTCATCTTCATTCTATCTGTTCATCCTCCCACCATTCTACCAACCCTTTCTCCTTCCCAAAACTCTACACGGTCTTTTTCAAATTGTATCACCCCAGGCCTTGTGAGTTTTCCCACTAACCCTCTAAATCTCTCCCCACTAACCCTGTAAGCCTCTCTAAACCCGGCCAGGTCTCTCCTCATCCCCTATCACCACAACTCTTCTGACCCTGCCTCTAAAGCCTTCTGATACGCCCCACAAATCCCTCCCAGCTCCACTGCCTCGATACTGAAGTCGCTCCAAGATCAGATATAGGGGAGGCTAACGAGGAGCGGGTGTCCAGGGCTCCCCCAGTCCCTAGTTTGGCTCCCCTGTTCTCCCTAGATAGTCGGGGTACGAGGGCGAGGGGTTGAGAGCTTTCAGAGATGTTGACTGTTTCCTCCCACTGTCAAAGTCCACCCCCTTCCCTGGCCCTGAGCTCACTGCTTAGGAAGCTGGGAGTCTCAGACAGCTGGGGTTATTGTGATAGAGAAATCTCTCCTCTCTCTCTCTGTCTCTCTCTCTCTCTGTCTCTGTCTCTCTGTCTCTGTCTCTCTCTGTCTCTCTGTCTCTCTCGCTCTCTCTGTCTCTGTCTCTGTCTCTGTCTCTCTCTCTCTCTCTCTCACACACACACACACACACACACACAGAGGCGCGCACACACGCACACGCACATGCACCCCACCGGGGTTGTCGCGGAGGAAAAGCGTCACGCAAGCATCACTGGAGGGATTTCGGGCCGTGGGGAGGGAGGAGAGGGCTGCAGCTGCTTAGATTGCAAAAGGGAAAAAATGTGTACTAACCCACCACCCCATTCTCTGGCCCACCACCGCCCTCCATTCCCAGGCCTGCCCAGCTCGGGTTCAGCTTCGGGCTCGGCTTCCAGAGCCCAGGCCCACTCAGTCTTCAGGCCGTCAGGGATTTTGGTTGTAGCTAGAGATACCAACTTGAGGAAAAATAAAACAACCCAAAAAAACCACCCTCATTCTTTCCTTTCCGAATG